AGACCGGTTTTCACCTCTTGTAAAAGGGCAAATTGAAAAACAAAACCACGACTCTTATAATAGTGTTCTGTATATAACATGCATGGCGTTTGAGTCGTATATTTTACTCATCTCTTCGGATAGTTTTATAAACATAAGTGGAAAGCGGAACAAATTACAAGTTTGCTGTAGCAAATGAAGGACAGACCAGGTTTCGAAGAAAAAGTACTTTACAGTACTGCTCCCAACTGTGTTCTAATTATTTCAGTTAATAGTGTCTATTCAGCAATGAAGGTACTATTCAGTGTTCTAATGAGATTTATAAGAATACTTAAGGTTCATAAGGACAACTTGTTGCTACAAAACCATATTGAAGAAATTTTGTCATTCTGGCTTTCTGACGTAGTTCTGTGTTAAAACTGAAAGTTAGTTAAACAACATGAATTAATATCTAAGTTTGTTTGTTTGTTTTGTATTTCGCGCAAAGCTGCACGAGGGCTATCTACACTAGCCGTCCCTAATTTAGCAGTGAAAGACTAGAAGGAGGGCAGCTAGTCATCACCACCCACCGCCAACTCTTGGGCTACTCTTTTACTAACGAATAGTTGGATTGACCGTCACATTATAACGCCCCCACGGCTGAAAGGGCGAATATGTTTGGTGTGACGAGGACTCGAACCCGAGTACGAGTCGAGCGCCCTAACCACCTGGCCATGCCGGGCCACTACAGAATGAACATAAAAGAAATGTTAAAAACAATAATATTACTATTTCACCTTTAGCAGAACATAATAATGAAAGTGAACCACAATTCAATGGGAAAAAAACTGTTATTTTAGCACAACCTGAAAATGTCGTTAGTATGAATATACGTGAATCTATTGAGAGAAACAAATATATAAAAAGTAAATTTAAGATATTGAATAAGGATGATGGGCCTGGTGGAAATGTTGTCAGCAGATGGCGTAAAATTCTTTAACATGTAAAATTGTAAACCGAATTATGGTGCTTTTTCGTAAGCGTATAAATAAGTCTGATGCTTGCAAAATATTGCACTTGTGAAGATAACATGTCGAAACATGTTGAGTATATGAAACTGTTGTATTTTTGAGACTGGGAACAGTCTCATTTTTAGGACTGTGTACAATAAAATTTTGTTTATTGAAAATTGACTTTCTAACATTGAGCATTTTCACAAGAGTCAATGAATTTGGACTCTTTATATAATTTAAAACTAAACTAAAATCCACACTTTTTTTTTCCTTTGCGTCAAGATTCCAAAACGTAATTTGGATTTTAGTTTAACTTATAAAGTAATTAATAACATTAACATTTTTAAAAGGTTATTCTTGTCTTTTGTTTATAGTTTCCAAGAATTATAGTTAGTGATAAAAAGTTCAAACTACAAAGATAAACAAGACTGAACGACAACTTGTGTTATTAGACTAGGTACAGAACGATTAACATTGTGGATTTAATTGAAACAGATTTATCTCTTCTATCCCCCACCCCATCGATATCAAGGCTTGCTCGTTCGGCGATATCAGAACGAATACAAAATGGCTATATGTTAGACGTGAAACTATGGCCTCAGCGTAACCTTGGTTACATAAGGACTTTATTGTCGTATTTCGATTGTTCACGTACGACGATATGTTGATAAAACTAACGTTACCTTGTTTAACAATAACACATATGCATGCTGTGTGACCATCAATGCAAGGCCATTTCTTATTAGAAAGTAGATTTTATCATTTAAATTTCGTTGAGAGATTGTACTTGTAAATTGTTTTCTAATAAATCTAATAATCATTTATATATATATATTTATATGTGTTTGTGCGCGCGCTCACTTATGTACATGTATTTATATATTTATTTTATGTGTGTGCGCGCGCGTGTGTATATATATATTTATGTCATGTCTTATGTCATGCTCGGAAAAACATATTACGCCAACAGTTTGTTTGTTTTGGAATTTCGCGCAAAGTTACACGAGTGCTATCTGCGCTAGCCGTCCCTAATTTAGCAGTGAAAAACTAGAGGGAAGGCAGCTAGTCATCGCCAACTCTTGGGTTACTCTTTTACCAACGAATAGTAGGATTGACCGTCACACTATAACGCCCCCACGGCTTAAAGAGCGATCTTGTTTGGTGGGATGGGGATTCGAACCCGCGACTCTCCGATTGCGAGTCGAGTGCCCTAACCAGTGCCGGGCCAATATATTGAGTGAATATGTTATGAAAGACATTGATGAACACCCATCTAAAATAACTTGATAAAATATACAAAACATTTGTACACAACCAAATAACGTATCAAACTAAGACGAAAGCTAATTTCTGTACATCATCTAGCTGTCCGTAAATAAATATTTTAGAATAAACTGCGAGCAAAAAGGTATGAAAACAATGGCAATCTAATTATGACAGTTAAAAAAATGAGTTGAAACAGACAGGTTATATAAAGGTTATTTACTCATAAGGTATATTTGAAATGAAATGAAAGCTTATACACATTTAAGCATAAAATCTCAAAACTGATCAAGTGTTTAAAATGTAAATAAAAAATGGCGACTACTTATATGGTGTGTGGATAAGGGGCTCTTCAATTCACAGATTTTCTGTTCCGCCGAAAAATGTAATAATTAGTGCATTCTTACTGTGCTGAATTTAGAGAAAAAAAATTAATAACGTAAATTAATAAAAGAAAAGAAAAGCAAAATGGCAAAGGACGATAGCAGAACCACAAATACAAGTCAAGAGGACGATAGCAGAACCACAAATACAAGTCAAGAGAACGATAGCAGGACCACAACTACAAGTCAGCAGGACAAAAACAGTACCACAAGTACAGGTCAGTACCGAAGAAGACGATAGTAGGACCACAACTACAAGTCAGAAGAACGTAAACAGGACCACAACTACAAGTCAGTACCAAGAGGACTAAAACAGACATTCTCATGTATATTTAGTCTGAACAGCTTGAACAGTTTTGTTTGATAAGTATACTCGAATTCATTTTCCATTGCCCCCACCCACACCCCAGTGGCACAGCGGCATATCTCCGAACTTACAACGCTAGAAACCTGGTTTCTATACCCGTGGTGGGCAGAGCACAGATAGCCCATTGTGTAGCTTTGTGCTTAATTAAAAACAAGCATTTTACTTTCATATTATCAAATTATTTAATTTTCTTCGTTACTTGTTCTATACCTGGTTTCTATACCCGTGGTGGGCAGAGCACAGATAGCCCATTGTGTAGCTTTGTGCTTAATTAAAAACAAACATTTTACTTTCATATTATAAATTATTTAATTTTCTTCGTTACTAGTTCTATACCTGCTTTCTATACCCGTGGTGGGCAGAGCACAGATAGCCCATTGTCTAGCTTTGTGCTTAATTAAAAACAAGCATTTTCCTTTCATATTATCAAATTATTTAATTTTCTTCGTTCTCCGAAATTTAGTCCTATCTTCGCGTCTCATAAAGATTTTTCCTTCTTTTTATCCCCAAAAATATCAAACTTGGATCTTTTTTTTTAAATTATTTTGTCTTTGTATAATAACCGTTTTAATGTGGGTGTTAGATGTTTATTCAAGTGAATTGTAACTTCTTTGAATTTTCATTGTTAGTTTCTATCCGCCAGTTATCTCTTGCTGATTCTGACTTACATGTTACGACTTTAGGTTTCATGTCGCTGCTCACATAAGTATATATATATACGCAAATAAAAATAGAATCTTCCTCAACTCTACAAGAGTTAGAATATAAAAATAAGTCTAAGTTACGATATAAATAAGAGAATGGGTACAAGAGATACAGAATTTATATCAGTTATATCTTGCTATTCCTGACTTAAATGTTACGACTGTAGGTTTCATTCTCCATTTTGGTGTTCTGTGTAAAGCCTGTATCTCACCTTCATTGATCCTTATAGGAATATCATTAGCGCTTTTTTATACAATTTCGTGTACATTTTCTCTTGTTCTTCTAGTATTCCATTTATTTCCAGGTTTTGATTCCTTGCACTTTCCACTGTCCCACCAGGGGAACAACACAAATAACTTTTATATGATAATTTTTGATTAAGAATAAGAATTTAGGAAACTTTTAAGACAATCAAATGAATTATTGTTGATTTTAAGTTAAATGTGGTTGAGTGATATATTAAAATAATTAATGCTATAAACTAGGGTGAGATAAAAGCTTTGAGTTAATAATAATTTGTAGTGTATTTATATTGTACTGCATTTCTATTGTACTGTATTCGTATTTATAATCGTAAGTGTAAGTTAATGCAAATCCAGTGAATACAAGTATATATACACAAATACTAATATAATATTCTGCAAATCTATAAGAGTTAGAATACAAAAATAATCAAAAATACAAATTCAAATACACCAGTTGTAAAGTGATGAAGTGCTACTGAAGAAGCTAGAGCGACAATGTATGCCAATGTAAGTAAAATCCCCTACAATGCTGTAAAACTTGAGATGTAGAAAAAAAGGTCATTGAAGTAAACAAGGTTCAAACTTATAAATATTTAAAAACGCCATTAAACGGACATTTGAGGATTCTATATCCTAACCTTGTATATGTACACTGAAGTAAACAATGTTTAAACTTATAAATCGTTACAAACGCCATTAAACGAACATTTGAGGATGCTATGTCCTAACCTTGTATATGCACACTGAAGTAAACAAGGTTCAAACTTATAAATCGTTAAAAACGCCATTAAACGGACATTTGAGGATACTATATCCTAACCTTGTATATGCACACTGAAGTAAACAAGGTTCAAACTTATAAATCGTTACAAACGCCATTAAACGGACATTTGAGGATACTATATCCTAACCTTGTATATGCACATCCGTTTTGTTACCTTCGTTGCGTAGAGATAAAGACATTGACGTCAGTTATACTAATCACTACATTGCCTTGGAATTTGGATAAGAGAGAGGTCTCACTTGTAACAAACCTGCGTTTATCAAGCAATCTTTTTCATTTGAAACCCCGTAAAGTGAAGCGGTCAGACAGCTGCTGAAAGCTACTCCAATGAAGCTTCCATGTGTTTTTCTTTACCATAAAATACCAATTATCATATTTAGCATCTCGTGTTTCGTATCTAGTGCACTGTTACGGAACTCGTCTCCTGGTTCCTCAACATCAGAATCTAGAGTTAGGTATCGTCACTCAGTTAGAGACACGTGGAGACAAACACTAGATGGAGGCTCTGTAACTAAAGGCTCTTTAATTATCGGTCATAATGAGATTCGTTCAGTATTTAGACCTAAACTGGAAAACGAAAAAATCAAATACGTTAGTTCTTACATCACATCGACCACAGAAGCTGAGATTCAGAACGCGTCAGTGGAAACACCTAGCTACGTGACAAGAGGAAGTAATGCCACGACCTCTGCCGGAAATAAGATCAAATTCATCTTGTTTTCAGGTAGTTTTATTACACTTTGTTCTTTCTAGGAGTAGCAAGTATTACAGCACTAATTATGTATTGTTTCTGTTAAAGATTTTTTTTTATTTCGACAAATGATAAAAGATACGTTTTTATTT